CCCCCCACCCCCCCATCGCGTGTGCATTTGCCTGTGTCTACGTGCATCGATCATGGTCCTTTTCATGAGGTGCTGCGCACGCCAATCGTGCCACAGGCCCGTCGCATTTCCCCCGTATCCCCCTTGTTGTATCCCCCCTCGCCCCCTTCCCCTCCCCCACAAACACGCACGCGCATACAAAACTTGACTTCGAATTGTGGGGCATTGTTTTCTTCTCTTTCTCCCTCTCTCTCTCTCTCTCTACACGTCATTCTTTCATGGCCCCATGTTGTGAGCCGGCTCTTGTGGGGGGTGGGATCGGGCATCGGGTCTGGTGTGGGAGCTGTGGCCATCCTCCCCCGATCGGGCCTCTTGCCGGAGAAGCAGTGCAACGCCAGGGGCTCCCGCTGTATTGGTGTATTTTCCCCCGTGCGCGGCGCACTGTGCCCGCGATACGGGGAAAATGGGGGCTTCTTTTCCGGGGGAAAGGGAGCAGCTTCTTTGCTCTCTTCTCACGCCGGAGAAGAGGGTAAAGGGAGGGGGGGGGGGACCACTTTCTGCATATTGCTAGCGGCCAAGCTCCCGCATGGTGACCACCCCATCGAAGCCGCCGGACACGACGGTCACCTCGGGGCACAGCGGGCCGCCAGCGACCTTCAGCCGGCCCAAGGCCCCAGGCGGGCCGAAGTCAATGGCCGCCAAGGGTTCCCTTCCGGCTGAATACCGGTCAATGGCCTGGACTCAAGGGAATACACGCACACACACACACACACGCACACGCACACGCACACATACACACGGGTGAGTGGCTGGCATCGACAAGGGGCCGTGGATTTCCCGGGGCCTCAGAGGGCCACCAAGAGGGGGAGGGAGAGAAAAAAGGGGAGACACAAAAGGAAGGCCCCCGATGAACGCACAATCTGCCGGTCGGCGTCCCAAATGGTGACCGTCGCATCGTAGCTCGCACTGCCGATGAGATCGGTTGCTCCTGGGGCCGTGGGCCCCCACCAGACCACGCGTTTGATGGCCCGCGAGTGGCCAAAAAGCCGAGTCACCACGCCGGGGCCATTTCCGGCGCTGACATACTTCCAATCCATGATGGAGAGCTACCGGGGGGGGGGGGGGGCGAGGAGAGGGAACGGGGCGTTGGCGTGAGAAAGGGAGGGAGCAGGAGAGACAGGCAGGGCGCCACCGCTGTTCGAAGGTGACGCACCGTGGCATCGGTGCCGGCGGTGCAGCAGACTGTCGGCAGTCCTTTGGCCGGGGGGGCCCAGGCCAAGTCCAAGCACTCGCCCGATGCATGGGTCGCGGCGAAGAGGACTTCATTCTGGACATCCGCCCCGCCGGGGCTGGCGGAGCGCCCATGCACGCGAGTGTCCCACAGTGCGATGCCTGTGCCGATGGTCCCGGCGAAGATGAATGGCGAGGCTGGCGACCAAAGTGCCGAGTAGACTGGGGGGAGGGCCCGGCCCGGAGGGGCAGCCATGGTCGCGAGTGCTTGCGACGCGGCGAACCGGCCCACCGCACCGGCCTCAGGCCGGAAGACATTTCGCTATCAGCAGGCGTGGGGGTGGGGAGAGGAGGGTTAGCTGGGCGGGGCATTGGCGGGCTGGGGGCAGGGTGCCTGGGAAGGTGGCATCGGGACAGCGCACCATCTTGACAAAGCCGTCGCTCCCGGACGTGATGAGGAGCTCGGCATTCAGCGTATTCCAGCGCGTCGACAGGGCATCGCCGTCGTGCGGCTCGGCGAAGATGAGAGTTGGCCGGTCATCCTTCGCCATTTGATATTTTTTCGCCCCAACATGAACGTCGTGGGAGACGCCCATATGTATGCATGAGCGTATGTGGGTGAGAATAGACGCAGCTGCCATGTGTGTGTGTGTGTGTGTGTGTGTTTGCGCGCGCGAGAGAGAAGGAAGCCCAGCCACATGCACGCACCGACTCGTGAGTGCTGAATAGAAGAGTGGTTCCATGGCCACCGGAGGCCGAGATGAGCGATCCGGACTGGAGCGGCGACCAGGAGCAGTCAAAAAGGGGAAAGGGCGTGGCATAGCTGGGGGGATAGGGTGGGGTCAGCTTCAGTCAGGACCACCGGCATGCGGGCCAGCGACAACGCACCGGCGCATGGGGGCCAGGCGCCCCTGGTCGGACACGCCAAAAACGGTGAGCGACCCGCCGCCACTGATGCCGTAGTGCTCGCCGCCGGCCACACACAGGAGCGCCGGCGCATCGCGCGACAGGTCCATCGCGCCAGGGGCGATCGCGATCTGGTAGTGTGTGTGTGTGTGTGTGTGTGTGTGTGTATGCAAGCGTGTGCATGTCCGGGAAGAGAGAAGGCAGGGGATCAGTTGGCGGGCGAGGGGGCGACAGAGAGGGAGGAAGGGGGGAGGGGGGGGGGAGGGGACGGGGCAGCAACGCACCGACAGGGCCGAGTGTCCCTCCAGGGGAGAGGTCGTCTCGCGCAGACAGGAGAAGGGAGGCGCCAGGGGAGCTGCCGGTGCCAGGCCTGGCGCGGAAGCAGCGGCGGCCGGCATCGTGGGCGCAGACATTTTGGCACAGCAATCAGAAGCAGGGCCGACAGTGGGAGGGACCAGGAGGCGAGGCGAGGGTGTATAGATGGAGCTGAGTCGGGCTTGGAGCGCTGAGGGGGACGATCTTGAGTCGGAGTCGGCGGATCGCCAGTCGGCTGGATGTCTCTCTCCCTCTCCCGTTCCGCGAAGCCCAGGGGTGGAGGGGTGCTGGCAGGCGGAGCGTCGGTGGGCCTTGGGTTTGTGCGTCTCCCTCCGCGCCGCGTCGCGCCCCTCCTTTGTTTCTGTCCCAGGGCAGTGTGCGATCTCGCTCACAACACCCAGGGACTGGGCGTGAGAGGGGGAGCGAGGGGGGGATACACTGGTGGGGGTCACATTGACAAGCGAGGGGCGTCTCGGCCCGCTGACGCGCCCGACTGACCCCGGGGGAACGCTGTCGTGTCAACAAAGGCGGGGCGCTTGGGCCAAAAAAGGGAGGGGGGATGGGGCACCGCTTCGATGGCGGGCGGGCGTGTTGTGTGAAAGCTGAGACAACTCAAAAAAGTGCGTCGGCACATGACCGATCACGGTACCACATATAGGCAGGTATGGGAGTTTTGTTTATTCAGGGGCCCCGTGGGCGAGCCGAATTTCTCATGGGTAAGACAACAGCCAGGGGGCGTGCGTCCACCCCTCCCCCCCCCCCTCCTCCTTCTGGGGAGCAGGCGAGGAGGGGGGAAGGTTCACGGGAGGCGCATCGCCTCCCTTGGGGCACAGATGCTTCTTCCGGTGACTGTCTGCCGCTCCCATGCCCACCAGGGGAGTTCGGGAATGTGTCCATGGGTTTGTGTTGGCGGCGGCGGCGGCGGCGGCTGCGGCTACGCAGCCACCTGCTGCCTCTTGGAGGCACTGGGGGTCTTGGCCGGGCGCGCGGAATCCGCCTCGGTCTGGTCGTCCTTCTCGTCGCTGGAGCTGGCTGTATCGTCGATCGCAGGGAGGGTGGTCCGCGGGTCTGGCGTTTCGAAAGAGAGAGAGAGAGAGAGAGAGAGAGAGAGAGAGAGAGAGAGAGAGAGAGAGAGAGAGAGAGAGAGAGAGGGAGGGGGGGAGAGAGAACAGGGCGATCGATGACGCATCAGTATCAACGCAGGCATAGGGATGATATGGCAGCATGTAGGGGCGGAGTTGAGGCGGAAAGGTGCATGTGTACCGTGCGTCGGGACAGGGGGGAGGACCGGAAGCTCTTCGATCGATGTGGCTGGCAGGTCGGTCTGCGTGTCGGTCGGCAGCTGATGAGACTCGCCGGCCATGAGGTTGTTGAGCTCGTCCTCGAATTCGGCATCGTCATGGTCGGCCAGATCGGTGGCCAGCATTTCCT